TATCGGCTGTCTGCTGGCTCAGAACAACGAATCTGGGCGCGAGCAAGCAGTGCACTATCTAAGCCGCACCCTCAACACTGCCGAATTAAACTATTCGCCGATCGAAAAGTTATGCCTCGCGTTTTATTTCGCGGCCACCAAGTTGCGGCATTATATGCTACCTTCGGTCATTCAAATCATCTCCAAGACCGATCTCATCAAATATATGCTTACTCGGCCGATCATACGCGGCTGAATTGGGAAATGGACGATGGCGTTGTCCGAATTCACCTTTCAATACGTAGCTCAGAAATCGGTCAAGGGTCAGGCATTGGCCGATTTCCTAGCTCATCACCCGGCCCAGGGGCAAGAGGAGGAATTGGAGGTCGAGATCGGTATGGCCCACATGGAAAAGAATTATTGGACCATGCACTTCGACGGCTCCAGTACCGAGGCCAGGTCAGGAGCCGGAGTTGTGATTGAATCTCCCCAAGGGCAAAAATGGCAGTTCGCATTCCAACTCGACTTCAGATGCACTAATAATCAGGCCGAGTACGAAGCGCTCATCATCGGTCTCGAGATTTTGAAGGAAATGAAGGCAACCCGTGTTTTGGTCCACGGTGATTCTCAGCTGGTGATTAACCAACTGACTGGGGAATACCAATGCACGAGCGAGAATTTGGCCATGTATTATGTGACGGCCCTCAACACGGCCGATGGATTCTCTAGAATTTCCTTTGTTCATGTACCACGCGCCGAAAACGGTGAGGCCAACGAGATGGCCCAGGTAGCGTCAGGCGTAAACATCCCGAACACTGACCATGATCGCGTGATAAGGTCAGATGCACTAATAATCAGGCCGAGTACGAAGCGCTCATCATCGGTCTCGAGATTTTGAAGGAAATGAAGGCAACCCGTGTCTTGGTCCACGGTGATTCTCAGCTGGTGATTAACCAACTAACTGGGGAATACCAATGCACGAGCGAGAATTTGGCCATGTATTATGCGACGGCCCTCAACACGGCCGATGGATTCTCTAGAATTTCCTTTGTTCATGTACCGCGCGCCGAAAACGGCGAGGCCAACGAGATGGCCCAGGTAGCGTCAGGCGTAAACATCCCGAACACCGACCATGATCGCGTGATAAGGGTCGAGAGGCGTACCTTGCCAGCTTTGACCGAACGTGGAATGACAGCGCAAGTGTCTTCGGCCGATATCACCGACGAGATCGACACGGCCGAGGCCGACTGGCGCTACCCCATAGTGAAATATTTGCGTAACCCTTCTGGCAGCCATGAGAGGACTACACGTTTCCAAGCTCGGTGTTATTTGATTTATCAGAATGAGCTATATCGAAAAGGATCAGATGGTTTATTACTCCTATGTCCCAGCGCCGAGGACATCAAGGTCATCATGAATGAATCCCACGAGGGGATTTGTGGTGCTCATCAGTCTGGGGTCAAGATGAGGTGGTTGGTTCGGAGGCACGGCTATTACTGGCCGACCATTTTGAAAGATTGCATAGAATATGTGAAGGGATGTATCAAGTGTCGAATCTACGGCCCCATACAAAGGGTACCGGCCGAAGCCTTCCACCCGGTGACCAAACCGTGGCCGTTCAGAGGGTGGGCCGTGGACATCATCGGCAAAATCCATCCGGCCGCATCCAACCAACACGCATGGATTCTGGTGGCGACCGACTATTTCACCAAGTGGGTCGAGGCCGAGTCCTATCGGTCAATATCCAGTGCACAGGTGGTCAAATTCTTTGACAATCACATCGTTCATCGGTTCGGTATCCCAGAAACTATCACGGCCGACAACGGCCCGGTATTCGCATCGGCCGAGACACGGGAGTACACCGAGAAAATGGGGATCAAATTGATCCACTCAACACCTTACTACCCTCAATCTAACGGACAGGCCGAAGCAAGTAACAAGGTGATCAAGGGCATCCTGGAGAAGATGATCGAGGAAAAACCTAGGGCGTGGCACGACTTGCTCCCCGAAGCTCTTTGGGCTTACCGAACCTCAAAGCGGTCGGCCACGGGCACATCTCCTTACGCCTTAACTTACGGACACAACGCCATCGTCCCGATGGAGTTAAAAGTTCGGTCTCTCCGTGTGGCCGAGCAGCCTGGGCATGAAAGGGGGAATTATGCACAAGCCATGGCTCAGGAGTTGGAAGACTTGGAGCAATCTAGACTCGATGCCTATAACCTAATGCAGGCACAAAAGCAAATTGCGGCGAAGGCGTATAACAAAAGAGTTAAGCAAAAGGCTTTCGCCGAAGGCGACCTAGTATGGCGAGCCGTGCTCCCTATTGGGACAAAGGATCCTCGGTTCGGCAAATTTTCGCCCAATTGGGAAGGGCCGTTCATTATCGAACGAATTCTTGGCCGAGGTGCATTTCAGTTAAGGGATAGAGATGGGGAATGGCACAACCTGCCAATCAACGGCCAATATTTGAAGAAATATACCCCGTCATTATGGGAGAAAGCCGTGAAAAAGTTATGAAATTTGCAAAATATCAAAGTGGAGTATGCAGCACGACAAAGGCGAACTGAAGCCAATCATACTTCATTTTATTCATTTGATTTAAAGAAATGGGGGCGTGATTACAAGGAGACGGCCAGGTCATGGCCGAGTACAAACACATATAAGAAAAATCGCATCCTAAAATCTACGCACTTCGTCTCCATGGTCTTCTTGCGAGACAGTCAGACACTCTCCCCCAAGGCAGTACCTCCGTCGCCTATATCGTCATCAGCCACGGCCAGCTTGAAACCAAGGCTTCACCCCAGGCCGTGAAAGGAGCAAGGGCCGGCACTCCGGTCACGGAAGGCTGCTGCCACTCCAGACGTGGTAAGCAGTCGCCATTCTGGCAGTAGCAGCGGCCGTCGATCAGGCCGCGGTAGCGGCCATCACTCCGGACATGGTAAGCGATCGTCATTCCGAGTATGGTAGGAGCCACTACTCCAACCATGGTAGGGGCCGTCACTCTGGCCATGGACGTAACCAGAGTACTCAGCCGCATCAATTCGGCCATGGCGAGTTCATCACCCCAGGTCCTCTCGCCCTCATCAAACTGCCAAGTCATCTGGACAAGGCCAAATCGCCAAGTCATGAGACTCAGCAGGGTTGGTTCTCTGGTTTTGAGGAAGCTGCAATGGGGATCATTAGGGCAGTTTGGAATAAGGGAGGGCGAAGCCCAGGAATCGAAGAAGGGCTCCAGAGCGATTAAAAGGGAAGTTCACTGAATAGTAAGAGTTTTCAAATTTGAGGAACAAAGGCTGAGGAGACTGGGGAAAGCCAGTATGAATCTTCGAAGAAGATAAATCCAGAAGTTTTGGGAGTTTGATGGGAAATGCGAAGGCGTTTGGGTTTTATACTGGCGCTGGAGCTCAAAACGCAGAGGAATGAACCTCGAAAGATGAAACGGCCTGACAGCGCACCCAGAGCACGCGAAATTATGACAGAGACATGGTGGCTGACGTTTCGATTAGCAAGGCAAATTGATGGCTCGTGCAGGCTAAGGGCACGATGACACGTCGAAAAACCCAAGGGCCGGCATTTCCTCTGACAAAACGAAGCGACGCCCTGGGCAATGATGGCCTGCACGACGTGCTCAAGGCATTAAATAAGCTGATTGGCCTACGCATTTAATGCCCCATTTGTCAATCACTTCAGGAGGAATGCGAAGGGTCCATCCCTTGGAATCCATTCGGCCCCTACCCATGCCAAGGCCGAAGAATCCAGGGATGTGGGGGCAATGTTTGTGCCTAATAAATCACGGCCATGAGCTGGCTGAGGGAACCCCTTTTCTCGGCCCCGGCCCTTGCTCGTAAAAGCTAAAACGCGGCGTTTCGCCAGGGTAGTTCGCCCTCCTGAACACAAAAGAGGAAATGCTAAGGCATGATCATCTCGGCCTCAAGCGCAGGCCGAGACCGAGGCCAGGCAAAATTGCGGCCAAGACATTAAAGGAAAATCATCACGTGACAACAGGGTCTCAGGCTTCATTTAATGAAGTAGTGCCTATTTAATGCAGCAAACCCACTGGCCACAAATAAGCATTTAATGCATGAGGGAAGGTGGGAAGTGACTGGAGTCAGGATTTGGTGATAAGAGTCAGAGTGATTAGACGTGGACATTCTCACAAGAATTCTGACAGCTTGAGAGGTTAGCTCACCAGCTATCCAGGCCATAAATGCGTCTCCACGGCCAGAAGCTCAGAACCAACGATTGAGAACGGCGGCCGAGATTCACCAGGATTTGGGGTCACACCACCATACTTCACGATCCCAAATGTCGATTAGACTGCCCACTTGCTCTAATCAAGCTCCACCATGCAGATTTTCAGCCTCGATTACTCCTCCAGGGACTCTCCCTATAAATACAAGGCTCGAGCTA